AAGCACACGTCTGAGCGATGCCAAGGAGCAGGGACAGAGGAGGGGGCCTGGGGGGAGCAGAGGAACAGAGGAGAGAAGCCAAAGAGAAGGGAGCAGGGAGGAGGGAGGGAGCAGGGCCGAAGAGGAGGAGGAGGAAGGAGGAGGAGGAGGAGGGAGGAGGAGGAGGAGGACGACGACGACGAGGAAGAGGAGGAGGAGAAGGAAGGTGGGAGGGAGGGCACAGGGAGGAGGGGGGAAGGGAGAGGGGAGGGAGCGAGGGAAGGGGCAGAGGGAGCAGGAAGGACCAGCATTCGTCGATGCTAACTCGATGCGCAGCCGCACGCAGCACCAGCGGTGCGTTGGCGCGGTCCTCGATGTGGACTCGTGCGGGCGGCTTGACGCGGGATCCTCAGCCTCCTCAGCCTCCTCAGCATCCTCCTCCTCCTCCTCAGCCTCCTGCTCTTCCTCCTAAACATCCTCCTTCATCCTGGTCATCTGCTACCTCCTCCTCCTCAGCCTCCTCTTCCTCCTCCTCCTCCTCCTCCTCCTCCTCCTCTTCCTCCTCCTCCTCCTGTGTACACAGATCTCTTTTCTCCGACTGCGTATAACCCGAGGTCGTCTTTGGAATTCCAGCCCCGCTATTACAACATTACAACAGACAGCAGGTAGCCCCTGCCTTTGAGGGCTCCGCCCCCACTTGTCGGAGGAGGACGAATTTGGACAACGGCAGCTCAAAACCAGACCCTCTACCCCTTCCAGGCCCCAGACGCACCAGTTCTCCCGAGCTGCGCCCAGCCTTGACGAGAAGGGCCCCCCGAAAGCCCACTGCCGTTGTCCCAACTCAGCCCTCCTCTGATGAGTGCCGCCTGGCACCGCCAGACCAGGCCCGGACATGCGACGTCCTGACTTTTGCAACACGCGGTCCCCGAGAGTACCGACTTTCTACGCCGCGAGCATGTCGGGGCCGTCCTCTGATTACAACGCCCAGGTCAGAAAGCAGAACCAGCCTGACACCAGGAAAGGCCTCAGAACGAAAGTCGGGGCTCCACCCCCACCTTGGGCCTCTCAGCGGGCTGGCCCGCGCGCCTGGGCGCGACGCTCGTCGGAGCGCCGCCAGACGCAGGCGTGGCAGTGGCTGCAGTCTGCCCCGTCCTCGCGGGGGGGGGCGGGGGCGCAAGAGGAGGAGGAGGAGGAGGAGGAGGAGGAGGAGGAGGAGGAGAAGGAGGAGGAGGAGGAGGAGGGGGGAGGAGGGGGAAGAGGATGAGAAGGAGGAAGAGGAGGAGGAGAGGAGAAGGAGGAAGAGGAGGAGGAGGAAGAGGAGGAGGAGAAGGAGACGGAGGAGGAGGAGCAGGAGGAGGGGGAGGAGGAAGAGGAGGAAGAGGAGGAGATGGAGGAGACGGAGGAGACGGAGGAGGAGCAGGAGCAGGACCAGGAGGGTGAGGAGGAGGAGCAGGACCAGTATAAACCCAAGACGCATCAACGATGTTGTAATAAACCCTCCCTCAAAAATTCCATCCTCACAGGTCCTTGCAAGCATTCAATTCAATTTCGGGAAATACCCCATTGGAAGACAACCTTCTGAGAATCCTCAGTCGTGCCAAAACACAATTTCTGGGACTTCATTGCCGCGAGCAACACGACAGTTGCGACGGGACGTTCATAACAACAACAAAAAAGAGCGCACGGCGCCAATGCGAGAGCTATAATTTGAAAACCATCCGCTATTTATTATTGAGACGACTGCGCGCGGCGCAAGGGCGAGATACCTTGAAAACCATACGCCCTCCATCCTTGAATATGCTGCTAAGGCTACATGTTGAAAACCATCCTCTCTCCGTCCGTGACACACATGCAACATGTTTCAAACGAATGTGCACGGCGCTGAGGCGAGAGCCGTATTTTGAAAACGGATCGCCCTCCATTGTTTAGACTGTTGCAACTTCAAGTTTCAGGAACATCTGCCACCGTACCGCTGGGCACGGAGTGGGCGTGTCCTCAAGTCCTCTGCCCAATCCTCCAAGCCCGGAACCCAAATTGCCAAATCTCCCGGGGCTTGGCGCGGCTTGCCGCTTCATTTTTTTCGGAGCCAAGAAGGCCCCAAGATGGGCCAAGAGGGTCCCAAGAGACCCCTAAACCGGTCCGAGAGGGCCCCGAGTCGCCGACTAATCGCTTCAAGACGCTCAAGATGGCCCCCAGACGGCCCAAGAGACCTCCACGACGCCCCAAGTGGCCTCCATGCGGCGATGGCGCGCCAGCGTCGCCAGCGCACCATCGCCGCATGAACCTGCCAGACGGTGCGGAACTCCTGGATGGCGTGTCGCCGCGGAGGCCCCGGCGACACGCTACGCCCTGCCAGCGGTCAGCGTGTCGCTCCACTCCGCGGGGCGGGAGGCTCGGAGTCGCCGAAAAGTGGATAGCGTGTCGCTCCAGAGCGCGATGGGCCAAAACTGGCGGAGCGCCTGGATATACAAACTAGAACCACGCGCGCGCTTCGCGCGCGCTTAGGTTCTAGCTAGGAGGCGAGCTTGAGTCAACGAAAGTCGCAGGGAAGGGGGCAGGGGGAAGAAGGCCAGAGAGCGCTGAAGGATACAAATACTGGAACCCTCTTGTGATTTTGTGGGGGGCCTCGTCCGGCCGCTCGCTGGGAGTTTGACGTAGCTTCTCGGGAGCCTCTGAACCTGTCGGGGGCCTCCTGGAAGCAGGTTCGAAGCATTTTGGGGGCCGATTTGGGGCTTCTCGGGGCCTCCTTTGGGCCTCTTGGGGGTCTCCTGGGGCCTCTTGAGGGGCCTCCTTGGGGCCTCCTGGCGGCCTCTTGGGGCGGAAGGCTCGAGCTTGCGGTTCGTGGTCCCCCTCTGGGCCCCCTCTTGGGCCCGTCTTGGGGCCCTCTTGGGCCATCTTAGGCGCCTCTTGGGCCGTCTTGGGGCCCTCTTGGGCTGTCCTGGGGCCCTCTTGGAAGCTTCTTGGGCCGTCTTGGGGCGGTCTTGGAGGCCTCTTGGGCCGTCTTGGACGCGGTGAAAGCCCAAGATGCGAACATGCGAAAAATATACGTTTTCCCATAGGAATGGCACGATTTTTGTTTCTTGGACCTCTCTTGGGGTGCCTCTCGGAACGTCTTGGGCTGATTTTGGAAGCCTTTTGGCGCCTCTGGGCGGCGTTTTGGCGCCTCCTGGGATATGTTGGGCCGGAAGCTCGGAATTCGAGAGTGGCTTTCTCCTTCTGGGACCCCTCTCGAAGTCGTCTTGGGGTTCTCTTGGGCCGTCTTGGGGCCGTCCTGAGCCACTCGTGCGCAGCCTTGGAGCGCTCCCGGAGGCCTCCTAGGCCGTCTTGGAGGCCTCTTGGGCCGTCTTGGACGCGGTGAAAGCCCAAGATGCGAACATGCGAAAAATATACGTTTTCCCATAGGAATGGCACGATTTTTGTTTCTTGGACCTCTCTTGGGGTGCCTCTCGGAACGTCTTGGGGTGCTTTTGGGAGCCTTTTGGCGCCTCTTGGCGGCATTTTGGCGCCTCCTGGAGCCTCTTGGGCCGGAAGCTCGGAATTCGAGGTTGGCTTTCTCCGTCTGGGACCCCTCTCGAACTCGTCTTGGGGCTCTCTTCGGCCGTCTTGGGGCCGTCCTGGGCCACTCGTGCGCAGCCTTGGAGCGCTCCCGGAGGCCTCGTAGACCGTCTTGGGCGCCTCTTGGGCCGTCTTGGACGCGGTGAAAGCCCAAGAGGCGAACATGCGAAAAATATACGTTTTCCCATAGGAATGGCACGATTTTTGCTTCTTGGGCCTCTCTTGGGCTGCCTCTCGGAGCGTCTTGGAGGCTTCTGGGACCTTCTTGGTGTCATGACAGGCGTCTTGGAAGGCATCTGGAGCCATCGGAGCGCGTTCCGAAGCCGCCTGCGAACGATCTTGGACGGCGTCCGGCGGTCCGACGAGCCTCCGGGCCCCCCGGGGCCCACATTTGTGGTCGGGGTCCCGGCCCCGGGCCCCATATATATATATATATATATATATAGATATATATATATACATATAAGCTTCCGACCGTGATACACATGATGGCACTGAGGACAACAACAGCATCATCCAGAGGCTGCTGGCACCGACGGTAGTACAAACGACCCACACGAAGACAGGCAACATGCGACCTGTCTCTCCCCCATCATCCATCTGTCCTCTCCCCTCCTTCTCCTCCTCCTCGTCTTCTTCATCACCATCATAAGCACCATCATCATCATCATCAGCAGCAGCATCAGCATCAGCATCAGCATCATAATCATCATCAGCAGCATCATCATCGCCATCATCATCCTCATCATCATCGTCATCATCATTATCCTCATCATCATCATCGTCATCATCATCGTCATCACCGTACTGTACCCCTCCACCTCCATCCATCCAGTTTCCTGATAAATAACTCCTCCCTGTCGCACCCCCAAACGTGTCAGCATGGCAGGCTCGGCGTATCGCCTGAGGCTTCCTCACTATGTCTGATCCTGAAGCTTGAAGCTTGAACCACTGCCACGGATGGATGGCGGGTCGGTTTCAAAATATCGCCCTCGCCCTAATGCCGCACACATTCGTCTGAAAAGTCTGCCGCAAGATAGAGGGCGGGTGGCTTTGAAAACTTGGTTGTCGCCTCAGTACCGCGCACATTCATCTTAGAAAACTGCCGCGATGCAAAAATCGAGGGCGAGTGACTTTCACAATGTAGCTCTCGCCTTAGCGACGCGCACATTCGTCTTAAAAGTTTGCAACAATTTCACAGATGAAGGGCGGGTCCTTTTCAAGGCTCTGGGGTTAGCGCCGCACACATTCGTCTGCAAAGTTCACAACAGCTTCTGGGACTCGAATTGGTGACATCCCAAGAATGGTGCTCCAGCACGATTTAGGCTTGTCCGGACGTTCGCTGTGGTCGGCCGTTCACTGGCCGTGTGGCGGGCGTCATAGCCACCGCCTGGCGCCTGGGGTGGACGTGCCCCGCGCCGACACGTTTGGCAGACGACCCCGGCGAGCCCGTCGACTTCTTCTCCATGTCCCCGGCGATGGTGGCGGCCGCGGCACAAAAGATCGGCTGGCCGTTGGCGCACGCGGCGGGTGGTGTCGACGCTCCCTGCCCCCGTCAGGTGGCGATCCTGACATGCTTCTGGACGGACCAGGGCGCAGGCGCGGTCACTGTCCTCGTGGGCCGCCCCCTCGCTGCCCTGGTCAAGGGCCGCGGGCGCCCAGGCAGCACGGTGCCGCAGTGGTCTGCGCCCCGTCGCTCCCAGCTCCCGTCCGCCGCCAAGAGGGCCATTGCCGCAAGTGCGCCTGGCCAAGCTGCGCGACGCTGGAGTCACGGAGAAGGCCTGCCAACTCTGCGGGGTCACGCCCGGCACCCTCTTGCATCGCCGCGTATGCGAGGCCTCGTTGCCCCTGGACGGGTGGCCGGAGCCGCTGGAGGTATGTGGACGCTTACTCTCGACGATGTCGGACGCCCGCCTCGCGCTGCTCAGGACCCGCGGGCTTCTTACACTGCGGCTGCCGCGCCCGCTGCCGCAAGAGGAGGTGGCAGTTCGCTGGTTCACGGACCCGCCAGACGCGACTCGCACCGATCTGTGCTGGTATACGGACGGATCCTTGAAGTTTGACCCACTGTAGGAACTCCGGCGTACAAGTTGCGCTTTTGTCGTCGTGTCAGAGGCTGGGGACCTCGTGGCATACGGCTCCGCCGTGCCTCCGCCCTGGATTCGCACGGCCGCGGCTGCAGAGCTCTGATCTGTCATGCTTGTGCTGACCATCACGCTCACACCGCCTGTCATTCGCACCGATTGCAGGGCGCTCCTCGCAACTGCAGAGGCAGGGCTAGCGCAGGCCACCAAGCCAGCGCGCATGCTCGTTCAGATCTGGTCGCGCGTGGCCACGCTAATCAACGGCGACATCTCGACTCTGGTCACGACTGGCAGGATTACCTGAATACCAGCTCACGGCGCCCAGACCGTGATCGGCGCGGCCCTGAGGTAGGACGAGCACGCGGTCACAGCAGCGGATTGGATGACCAACGGCTTAGCGGACGTCATTGCCAAAGTTGCAGCTGGCTGTCCGCAGCCATGCGGCCCGGCTTGGGAGTTTTTTAAAAGTCGCCGAAAAGCTCGTGGCGCACGAGGGCGCGGTCCTGGGGGCTGTCACCCACGCCGCGAACAACCACGTTCGCGAGCTGGTTGGGCCTGGCGGCGCCCTGCGGCGCGTCACGGTGCGCGACGCGGCCGCCGTCCGGCGACCGCGGGTTTTGCCTCGCTCGCCGCGGCGCGCGCCGCCGACGCCGCTGCTGCCCGCGGGGGCGCCGCCCCCGCCCGCCGCGCCGCCGCCCGCTGCGGCCGCCGGCCGCCCGCGCGCGCTGGGGGCACGGCGCGCGGCCCAGGCCACTACAACCCTCGCGGCTTCTGCTGCGCGCGCGGCCGCTGCCATCACGGCCGCGCAGGCCATCTGCGAGGCGCGCGCGGCCGCGGCGCGGCCGTCCTCGGCGCCGCCCGCGGCCGTGCGCCTGGCCGCTCTCCGGGCGCGCGTCCTCGCCCGCGTCGATCCAGGGCGATGCGGGCCCCACGCTTGGCTTCCCCGGGAAGGAGGTCTGAGCGCCCCCAGCCAAGCGCTCAGAATGGGCGTAGGCCGGCGTGGGCCCTATGCTGGGCCGCGGGGGCGGCTGCCGCGCTGGGGCGCCACGCGCCTGCATAGCTTGGCTTCGCCAGCGGCGGCGGCTGGGCCGGCTCCTCCTCCTCCTCCTCCTCCTCCTCCTCCTCCTCCTCCTCCTCTCCTCCCCCCCCCCTCCCCCCTCCCCTCCCCCTCCCCCCCCCTCTCCTCCTCCTCCTCCTCCTCCTCCTCCTCCTCCTCCTCCTCCTCCTCCTCCTCCTCCTCCTCCTCCTCCTCTCCTCCTCCTCCTCCTCTCCCTCCTCCTCCTCCTCCTCCTCCTCCTCCTCCTCCTAATTTGGTGCAACGAGCTCTCGCGGGCGCGCGTTCCTGGATCTGCTGATCCGAGGGTCTCTGGCCATGGCAGAAAAAGCATTGTCAGGACGCAACGGTCACTTCGGTTCGCGCTGTTGATGTCCCAAGAATGTCGTTTTGGCAAAATGTAAGTTGTCCGGACGCAACAGTAACGTTGATTCGCGGCGTTGAAATCCAAGGAATAAGGTTTTGGCACGACTGTGGATTCTGAGACGGTTGTCGTCCAATGCGGAACTTCCCGCAATGAAGGACGATACCTGTAGGGACCCATGATGGGGGCACTTAGAGGGAAGGTGTATTGCAAGCTCGCTGATGCGTCTTGGGTTTACTCTGGTCCTCCTCCTCCTCCTGCTCCTCCTCCTCCTCCTTGTACTGCCGTCGAAGCGGCACGGGGATAGGGTGGGGGCCCCCGGGCCTCCTACCACCGACGTAGCCATGCCACCCTGACGTGGGCCTCCTACCACTGACGTAGCCATGGCACACTGACGTAGCCATGCCACTGACATACCACTGACGTAGGCCGCCTACCACATCGCGAGAAAGCCGCCCTGACGTAGCCATCCCACCCCCCAAGGCCGGGCGGCCCTTGGGGGGGGGATCAAGCTAAGAGCCCCGGCGACTCCTGCCACGGTCTCTCTCCAGGTTCCGCCATCTGGTGAGAAGTAAAATAGTTGAGGAAGACAGGCAGCAGACAAGGGCCTCCTCCAACTCCTCCTCTTCCTCTCCATCCTCCTCCTCCTCCTCCTCCTCCTCCTCCTCCTCCTCCTCCTCCTCCTCCTCCTCCTCCTCCTCCTCCTCCTCCTCCTGCTCCTCCTCCTCAATCTCCTCCCCCTCCTCCTCCCCCTCCCTCTCCTCTTCCCCTCCCTCTCCTCCCCCCTCCCCCTCACCCTCCTCCTCCTCTCCCTCCTCGTGATGGCGCGGAGAATGGGAGGGCCGGGCGCGGCAGGGGTGGCGGCCGCAGGGCGTGCGGCCTTGCACGCGTGGCCCTTGCGGGAGTACTTGCACGGCGGGCCACAGCTGCGGGCGAGCAAGAGGGCAATGCGCCCTTCTTCTTCTTCCTCCTCCTCGTGTGGTGATCCTCATCATCATCATCATCATCATCATCATCATCACCACCACCACCACCACCACCATCATCATCATCATCATCATCATCATCATCAGCATCATCATCATCATCATCATCATCATCATCATCATCATCATCATCATCATCATCATCATCATCATCATCATCATCATCATCATCATCTTCATCACCAATATCATCGTCGTCGTCCTCGTCCTCGTCGTCGTCGTCATCGTGACCAGCATCATCGTCGTCGTCGTCGCTGTCGTGATCATCGTCGTCGTTTTCGTCGTCGTCTTCGTCGTCTTCATCGTCGTCGTCTTCGTCTTCATCATCGTCATAATCATGACCATCAGCATCGCCAGCATCGCCATCATCGCCATCACCATCACCATCACCATCCTCATCCTCACCCTGATCGTCATCATCATCATCATCATCATCATCATCATCATCATCATCATCATCATCATCATTATCATCATAATCATTAGCAACATCATCATCATCATCATCATCATCATCATCATCATCATCATCATCATCATCATCATCATCATCATCATCATTATCAGCATCATCATCAGCATCAGCATCAGCATCATCATCATCATCAGCATCATCATCGTCATCATCATTGTCGCCAACGCCATCATCAACATCATCAGCAGCATCATCATCAGCAGCATCATCATCAACGTCATCATCATAATCAGTATCATCATCATCACCACCATCATCATCACCATCATCATCGCCATCATCATCAACATCATCATCATCATCATCATCATCATCATCAGCATCAGCATCATCATCATCATCATCATCATCATCATCGTCATCGTCATCGTCATCATCATCATCATCATCATCATCATCATCATCATCATCATCATCATCATCATCATCATCATCATCATCATCATCATCATCATCATCGCCATCGCCGCCGAAGGGTCCAAAAACCCGCTTGATGGGGGGCAGGAGGAGGGGGGAGGACGGGGGCGACGAGCTCACCCAACGCACCTCCAGGGCTCCCAGGGCCTCCAAATGCACCCTCCAACGCCTCAAAGATGCCTGGGATACCTTCCAGGACGCTCAAGGTGGTCTCCAACGCGCCTAAGAGCTCCCAAGAGAACCACAAGACAACACCCCAGGGAGCCCTTGGAAGCAGGAATCATTCACGTTCTTGGGGTTTCAGGGCAGTGTTCGCGTTCTCGCCTTCTCGGGCTTCCGAAAGCCCTGGGCCCCTGAGATCCGCCGTCGCAAAAAAAGCAGCAGTGCAAAAAATGAAGAACCAGAGCAGTGCACCGCATCTTTCTGCGCAACTTTCCCAGCCAGATCGATATGTGAGAGTCCCGGGGCGTGCAACCTGGCGAAGACGCCTCTTGCATAAAACTTGTGACGCCCAGATCTGAGGGCCAGCCCAAGAGGCCGCTAGCCAGGCCCCACACGCCCAAACAGGCGTCTGAGAGCGCCCCGCGACGGCCCAGCAGGGCCCCGAAGATGGGCCACGGCGGCCCTCAGGCCGGCCCACGTCCGCCGAAGGGGCGAACCCCCAGGCCCCACAAGAGGCTCCGGAGCGGCCCCCCCCAAAGATCCGACCCTCAAGAGACCCAAAGGTGGCCCCGGGCGGGCCCCAAGATGATCCAAGAAAGTGTCGAGCATTTCCCAGATGGCCCGACGAAGGCCCCGAAGGCCACCAAGAAGATCCGCGAAAGCCCTTCCAGAGACACAGAGGGGGGAGACAAGGGAAGAGAGGGAAAGGCAGAAACAAAACGAAACAAGCACAGAAACAGCAAGCAAACAAACTGACCGAAGCAGAGGAGGAGGCGAGGAGCAGGACGAAGACAAGCAGAGACAGGGCGGGGGGGAAAGGAGGAGGGGAGGACGGCGGAGAAGGGAGGGAGAGGGCGAGGGGCGGAGGGGGGGGAGGCAAGGCTGGACGAGTGGGCCCGCAGGGAGGCGGGGCAGGAGGGAAACGGCGAGGGGAGGGATGGGAGGGAGGGAGGGAGGAGGGAGGAGGGAGGGAGGAGGGAGGTCGGGATCAGGAGGGAGGAGGGAGGAGGGAGGAGGGAGGAGGGTGGGGGCAGGAGGGAGGAGGGAGGGGGGAGAGAGCGGGCGGGGAGGAGGGCGCGGGGCGGGCGCGGGGCGGGCGCGGGGTGGCCGCGCGAGCTCTCCGCGCGCCCAGCGCGCACGGGCGCGCGCGGCGCCCCGCGGAGGGCGCCGCGCAGGGGCGGAGGGCGGGGCCGCCCAGAGGCGGCCCCGCCCTCCGGCCGCGCGAAAACTGGGGGCCGCCGCCCGGAAGGGCTGGCTGCGGGCCACAAGGGAGACGCAGGGCCCTCTCCTCGACGTGGGGGGTCGGCGGTCGTCGGTCGTCGTCGTCGTCGTCGTCCGTCGTCGTCGTCCGTCGTCGTCGTCGTCGTCGTCCGTCGTCGTCGTCTTCGTCGTCGTCCGTCGTCGTCGTCGGTCGTCGAAGTCGTCGTCGTCGGTCGTCAACGACGTCGTCGTCGTCGGTCGTTGTCGTCGT